GAGAGAGAGAGAGAGCGAGAGCGAAAATCGAGAAAAAGCTTTCACGCGATGAAAAATATTTCCACTTCATAGTTTGTTTTTTTACATATCTTGCGAAATATAAAATATAACGATTAATATTTTTCTTTTACGTTACAAATAATGTTACTAAATATGAAATGCGAACTATCGCTAAAAATTTGGTGTATATTTATAAACTATACATAAATTAAATTTTTTAAATATATCATGATGAATAACGTATCTATTTTCTCAATAATACTTTTTCAATTTCGAGTTTCACACAGAATACGCGAAACTATATTAGTGCAACGGAAGAAAAAATTTATTTTCAAATAAAGGAAACTTTACACCATAATCTTAACTACGTGTTTCAACTACGCTTAAAATTTTATAAAAATTTTTCTTAAAGAGGGGAGAGCTAAAGAATAATAAATCTTTCGAAGAAACATTCAATTCGATGATTATTTAAAATCATTTTTTAAATTGTAATTTATTTATATCATTACACATCATTTCAACATGTCAATCGTTCAAACATAAATTTTATTCATTTTTGCATAGCTTTTTCCGCATACTTTTCTTTGTTCTTTCACTCATTACTTTATGCGTGCACACATCGCTGTACCTATTTTTTTTTTTGCAATAGAAAATATAGAATCCTATAGAAAATATGCGATAGAAAACTCGCGATAAATATGCAAGATATTTAACTACAGCATTGTAATATAGAGATATCTATATTACTTTAAATAAATAGATAAATCGGTCGACAAACACTTTTCTCGATTTCGAGATACAAATTTCCTCGTTCTTCTCGATTTTTCATTCTTACGATGAATATTTTTCTTTTAACTCATGTTTATTTTCGTATTATATGTTGATAAATTCTTTCGTGTATTTTGTAATATATAATATATAAATACAAAATGATTAATTGCTGAGAAATAGAAAAAAAAAGAATTGATGGCAAATATGAATCGTTACAACTTTTTCACTATTGAAAAGTGAAGGATAACGATTCGATATATCCATACTTATCGATTATTTACCAAGACAAATTCATGGACTGTTGAGAGAACACGATGTTATTAATTCTCCATACATGGAATTTCTATTACTCGAACTTTGATACGCAAATTTCAGTGATCAGATATAAAATTGAAATTTCTATAATAGATTCCCTTTTTAAAATATATCGAATTTCGAATATTATAATTTTTTTCGTTACAACATGTCATGATTTCTATCTTCGATTCTAAGATCATCTTGTATCGTATAACTTATGCGAACAAAGGTTTAGGATTTAGATTTTGAATCTAGAAATATATATTTTTAATGTTTTATACATAATTAAAAATAAATGAAGATTCCAATTCAATTTTTTTTGTAATTCTACTTGTAATTCTTGTTATTTTTTTTTCAAAAACATCGATACTTTATATATTTATTATGTTTGTCAATTTATTTATCATAGAGGTTATTTCGCGTGTAACCAACGATATTATATAGATAGCAAAAAATCGATCAACAATTTTAATAATGTATTTTATTTTTCATTAATGTTCATTATCCGTATTATATATCGAATTCCTCTATGCGTGGAAGGATATATCGATCCGTATGATCGAAGCCAGACATTTCATAGTCTCTTTCACAAATGGTCATCTCCATTTCATTGAAAACAATTTTCACCATCCAATGTCTAGGGCAAGGATTGTCAGTCGTAGCCCTACTGATGAGTCTGACTGACAATCCCCAGACAGTCGTTTGTACATATATTTCATCTTCTATTGCTCTTCATTTCTCGCATAATCCGTTACATTGAACGAGATTAGGGATAAAAGACAAGAATCCAGTTACATTTTTACGAGTCGATTATGATATTCGAACGTGAACTATGAAAATTGCGTGGCTTTGCCAAAGATCTTCGCGGTTCCCGTGGATGCACATTTCACGCTATTTTTATTCATCGTCGTTAGATATTTTGTTCCTCTTACAAGTAATCTCTGTTTCTTTGAAAACAATTGAAAAACGTTCATCACCCAACGTCTAGGGCAGGGGTTGTCAGTCAGTGTAGCTCTAGCGATGAGTTTGGCTGCCAATCCCGAGACGAAACGTATCCCTCTTTCCCCTTTCATTTTTGTTTTTCGTTCTTTACTCTATTATTTCTACCAGCTACAATATACAAAAATTAGGAAATTTTAACAATCAGTCCCATTCGATGTATCGAATTTTATGTAATCGAGTCATTCCATCATAAGATATTTTATTTAAAAACCAAATTTCGATAAAAATAATAATACTCATATGTTCATTCTTCATCCATAATATATTCTTTATTTTCCTTTCAAATAAATTTTTTTTTTTTAATCTTCTTATTTGAAAAACAAAATTTATTCTTTTTCGCGTTGATTTATTGACCAAAATAAGCGGTAAATTTTTTGACGTTAAGTCAAAAACACGTAGCGAATGTGACGAACGTATCGATATTAAATCTTTAAATCTTTCGTTTTATATCATTTTCTATTATTGCTTTTATCTGAACAAAATACAATGAGAAATTGAAACTGTATTTTTAAAAAAACTATATTACTAATAAAATTACGAATGATATTATTATACTAAACACCATTAACACATTCATCATTCTATTTCTATGTTATCAAAATATATAATAATAATATACGTAAAATATACTAAAATTGTTTCAAATTCTGCAGGAGGCGTCGTATCTGGGTATGCGGAAAGATCGCTGCGTTGTATGCGGACTCCCTATTTTCTTAGCGGAAAAATTGGTACTCGCTCGTGTCGCTTATCATCGTACCTGCTTTCGTTGCGCTCGATGTAACAATCAATTGACTATTGGTAATTATTACGAAACCGAAGAAGGACAATATTGCTGCGAAACATGTCCGGATGAAGAAATTCCGGTAGCCATAACGCGAAATTGCGACGAATCTTCGCAATTTAGTAGAGTTGAAAAAAACAAGATCGATTCGAATTATCAACAATTTCTTAGTGATGAAAAACGTATAGATAAAAGAATATTTAATCTCGATCCCGTTAACAAATTGGATCATCAAGATCGTATTGTCCCTGACTTACTGGCACAAACTTCTCGATTACGTTTTAATTTCATATCGAATCAATTGTTGTTCGAAGAGGGTGAACAAAAATTTCTCGTCAATAATACGCATACAACGAATGAAAATCAAAACAATTTCGATCGTAGCACAAATTTCACATCTTCGGCTAATTGTAAATCCGAAAGCGAAAATGATGGAAATAACGAACTTGATTCTTCGAAATTAGAATCGGCTTTGACTTCTTTGAAATTAGGATCCGTTGACAAGGAAAATGTAACAGAGACGAACGACTACGACGATTATTACGTCGAATCAAATACCAACGAACAAGATGAACAAAAATCTGCTAATTCCTTTCAATTCGATTCAATTACGGATAAATCATCGTGTGAATCTAACGACAAAAAATTAATAGATCAATCCGTTGAACATAATGGTCAACGTGATAAGAACACCTCTTCTATAATCGAAAAAACAATCAGGATTTTTGACAAGACGAAGCAAGACGAAATTAAAATGTACAATAACGAAGATCGAGATATCGAAACGCTAAATAAGAAGATCGAACAAATCGAAGAATACGACGTAATAGGGAAAAGTGAAAAAAATTCGATGATAAATCCAGATACGACCGAAAGTATCATCGGTCAAAATGCTGCTTTAAAAGATGTTGTAAATATTGAAACAGACGATTCGACGCAAATGGATACTTTCGAACAATCGTTACCACATGCGACCGAAATTAATGAAAATTTATCGATTCTTTCGGATATAACAAATAGGGAATTCGAAACATATACAACGGTTGCGACACACAAATTAAATTCTAATTTAAACGAAGATTATCCTGAAGATTTGAATCCCTTTAAAAGTGACGAAGAAGAAGAAGAAGAAGAAGAAGAAGGAGAAGAAGAAATGGAAGAAGAAGAAGAAGAAGAAGAAGAAGAAGAAGAAGAAAAAGAAGAAAAAAAAATTTCTGACAAATATGTTTCGACAATTATGAATACTACAGAAATTAGCAAAATTTTGACAAATCCATTCGAAAATGAAGAAGAAGTAAAAAGAAAAGATATTATTCCGCCGAGGCCAGCGATCAGATCTAATTTTAACGGTAATACAGTTAATCGGCAATTTTCAAAAGAAAGACCAACAAAAAGACGTTTAGCCGCACCACAAATTAATTTAAATCCATTTTGGAGCGACGAAGATGATCATAATAGCGATTTGGAATCTAAAGAAAAAACATGTGAAATGATGCCTACACCTAAACCACGCACAATTAAGTACGTATAACGATGAAACATTTTTTAACGTAATATATTTTTGATCGATGGTGGTTAAATACCGATATCATGCTTTAAATTTAAAAAACAAAAAGTGGCAAATTTCCATGTGTCGCGATGCTTTATATCCTGGCTTTTAAAAAAAATTTTGCTTTGCAAATTGATTATCGCTATTCCCATCATTTCTCGAAAGCGTCTTCGTTATATTAAATGTAGTTTTCCTAACAAGCCTATTCAACATAAACGTAAATCGTCATTCGTTTCGTATTTTTATTTCATTTCTTTATTCTTCATCATCTTACGTCGAGAAAAAATTTCTCGCGCAAAATTTCTCTGTCAAATATTTTTTTATTTATTATCTTATATAGCGATTACAAGAATATCTTACAAGAATTTCTTTCTTTCTTTCTTTTTTTTTTTTTCTACAGTGAAATCTATCCATTCTCTCGAATATTTCGAATTTTTATTCTCTAAACCATTACGATACAAAATCGTTCAAACATTGCAACCTAACAATCGATAATACCGATACGACGATCATCTTCAAAAAATTATTTTTTATTTCAATATTGATACGAATATACAATATACAAATATTATCGCTTATGCAAATCATTAAGATAGAGATCGACCACATTCTTTGATTAATTATATTAAAACGATATAAAGAGTTACCAAGTTTTAAAAAATATTTAAATTTAGAAAATATTTACATATACGTGCCAAAACGAAGCTTTAGATGCATTTTTGTATCTTTACTTTTTGTCTTTGTCTATTTTTAAATTTTTTCGACGTATTAAAATAATCTTTGAAAAAATTTTTCTTCCCATCCATTTGTAAACACCTTGTAATATATTATATATACGTACATATTATATTATATGCTATGTATACATAGAATAGTATCGCTTTTCTCCGAGAGTGATTCTCTGATCTTCCATTACTATTCTTTCTCATTCTTTATTGTCATTCTTATTTCTTTTTGTACATATCACTTTTTTTTCTTGTCATTATCAAAACATAAACGTAAATTAAAATCGTAAATTAAGATCAGTTTAATCGATTAAAAAACCGCGTATCATTTTTGAACCAAACTGTTGCCAATTTATTACCACATAAATACTAATATATAAACCGTATAGAAAATTTGCTATTTTTTTGGGGGGGGGGGGAGGAAATTGGAGGAAAATATAATCTGTTTATGAGAATAAGAAAAGAATATTATACGTAAATATTTCGTTATAAAATTATAAATAAATATCGAATCGATAAATTGACTTTTCAACAAAGCGACTCAATCGGAATCAATCAATCAAAAAAGAACATGTTCGTTTTTTTCGAGAGTTTAAAAATTTCGACTATAAAAATAAGAGGATCGAGACGTGCGAGAAAATGTCCAATCAATGATTCAAAATTGTCGGGATTCTTGAGAATTTCTTGAGACTTGTTCTTTTAATTTTGCGAACGAGAGTAATCCCAAAATGTTATTCAGTTCTTTGAGATCCCGATATTTTCAAGAATCCCGACAATCTCGAATTATAGGAAATACTTCTCTACTTTTTCTCGACATATCCCGAACGTTTTCGGGTTCTCTTTTTTAATATTTACTAATCGACATTTTTATTCTTTTATCAGGATTTTAAGAATTTACCGCGGGGTAAGTACAGAATCGAATTCTATAATTCTTTGTACAGTACTTTGATGTTTTTTTCTTTTTTTTTTATTTTCTTATCCAACGTATAACATATTAAACATATAACAACATTATAACAACATTATAACAACATTTAATAATTATCCAATCAACGGATATTTTACTACGGATAATTAAAATCGAATACTCAATTTTTTCTTATCATTTATTTTACATTTTTACATGTAAGTAATTATCGTTTTATCGTTTCAATTTTTTTTCAATTATTAAAAAGGAAATGTTAAATAAAATATACCGAGAGTCACGGTATATTTTACCCGACTTTATTTTTTTTTTTTTTCATATTGCATAACTAAGACTATAGCTAAGATCGAAGAACATGTTCGTTGGATCAAATGTTCGTTGATACAACGGGCTTTCGTATTAAAAAATATTTTTCTTTAAGAATGATCGTTTACTTATAAACCGTATAGAAAATTTGCTATTTTTTGGGGGGGGGGGAGGAAATTGGAGGAAAATATAATCTGTTTATGAGAATAAGAAAAGAATATTATACGTAAATATTTCGTTATAAAATTATAAATAAATATCGAACCGATAAATTGACTTTTCAACAAAGCGACTCAATCGGAATCAATCAATCAAAAAAGAACATGTTCGTTTTTTTCGAGAGTTTAAAAATTTCGACTATAAAAATAAGAGGATCGAGACGTGCGAGAAAATGTCCAATCAATGATTCAAAATTGTCGGGATTCTTGAGAATTTCTTGAGACTTGTTCTTTTAATTTTGCGAACGAGAGTAATCCCAAAATGTTATTCAGTTCTTTGAGATCCCGATATTTTCAAGAATCCCGACAATCTCGAATTATAGGAAATACTTCTCTACTTTTTCTCGACATATCCCGAACGTTTTCGGGTTCTCTTTTTTAATATTTACTAATCGACATTTTTATTCTTTTATCAGGATTTTAAGAATTTACCGCGGGGTAAGTACAGAATCGAATTCTATAATTCTTTGTACAGTACTTTGATTGTTTTTTTCTTTTTTTTTTATTTTCTTATCCAACGTATAACATATTAAACATATAACAACATTATAACAACATTATAACAACATTTAATAATTATCCAATCAACGGATATTTTACTACGGATAATTAAAATCGAATACTCAATTTTTTCTTATCATTTATTTTACATTTTTACATGTAAGTAATTATCGTTTTATCGTTTCAATTTTTTTTCAATTATTAAAAAGGAAATGTTAAATAAAATATACCGAGAGTCACGGTATATTTTACCCGACTTTATTTTTTTTTTTTTTCATATTGCATAACTAAGACTATAGCTAAGATCGAAGAACATGTTCGTTGGATCAAATGTTCGTTGATACAACGGGCTTTCGTATTAAAAAATATTTTTCTTTAAGAATGATCGTTTACTTTATCGTATATATATATATATATATATATAAATAATTGCCAAGATTATTTATAAATATGGTTTTAAGGATTAAATAATTTTTAATCATTATTAAAGTTGATTCAAAAGAAAAAAAAAACAGAAAAAAGTCACCAAGTGTACAGAGTGAAATTCTTGTGTCTTCGTAATATACGAAGAGAATAAGACGAACAATGATCATCCCCAACACGTGCTCAAAAGTTGAGAACGAGGAATACATTTTGCGATATGCAGAACTTATTGGAGGAAATTTCACGTTCAAATTTACGATCTTTAAAAAATGAAAATAAACGTTCAATTTGGTATGATATGAATATGATAATAATATGATAATAAAAAATAAACATTTAAATTACGTTTAACATTATTAATTTCATTTTGAAAATCTTGGAAAAGGAGGAAATCTTGAAAAAAGATCAGTTTTTTTAAGATATATGTATCCGTCATACGTTTTCATATATTCGCGAAAATGAATCTAACAAATTTTTCTCCATATTTTATCTAATATGGATTTATCTCTCGTGTTTTATTTTTTTCATATTTTATCTAATCGAATTCCAAAGAAAGAATTCAAATTTATTTTGTTTTTCGCTTGTTTTTTGTTATAGACACGATGAGGGGATAAATGTAACCGAACAACAAGGATCGAGCCAAATTCACCATCATTCGCTCATATCGAACAATAATCTAAGAAGTTCAGAATCAAATATACGCATTGGAGGAACTTACAGAAAAAAGAAACCGGCTCCATTACCACCTACGAAAAAGGAATCGTGTCTTTCCGATCAACCTTCCATATCCAAAGTAGAGTGCAATTTTAAATATATCTATAATATATATACAGTACCGGACAAATGTATTCGGATAATTATAAGTTTTTGTGTTTCTATGTTTACATATTTTTGGTACAAACGTGTTCTACTGCAGATTGTTTACCATTCGTATGTCACTGGTCAGTATAGAAGTTACACGGTGTTTATATTTGCGTTTTGTTACGTATAAAGTAAGTTTTCTCTCGTATTCGCTTGGACGTAAAGTATTCGGACGTTTCAGTTTGCACGTTGCACGCAATTTATATTCCAAATTTTAAATATTTGTTAATTTTGTTTTTATGTCTTTATTTAACTTTTCCTAGCATGGCGCGAGAACAAAGTTTAGCAAAATCTATAAAAGAAAAAATTATAAAAGCGTTAACGGAGAGTCATTATCCAATGTATCATGACGTTTCGATATTCCAAAGTAAAACCGTGTATATATATATATAATAACACGTATTTTAATAGTAAACGCATGTTGTAGGGATGGCATAACGTTAACGGTAGAGAAGGATAATCGTTATGAGAATTTCGCAAGAAATAATGAATAATAAACTTGAGCGAGATAAATCGTTGATCAACGGCCACGTTGAGAAGCAATTATGCATCAATTATCGGAGCTATTATTGCATATACGATGTTTGATCTAAAAAATATACTGATATAATTTTTATTATATTAGGAATCATGCGTACACGTAACACCTAAGATGCGTAAGACGAAGCCAGCTCCACCACCACCACTACCATCACTACCATCAGCATCATCATCGTCATCTTCACCAATAGTTCTAGCAACGTCTAATTTTGAAGGATCTTCTATAAATCGATGTAACGCGTGGGAAGATCAAAAGACTAATAAAAACGAGACAAATAGAAATAGACAGAGTTTCACGCACATGTCGTGCGAAGAAAATTTCCATTATGTGTCATATTTAGATAAAAGTATAGAAGGAAAATGGAAAAGAAAGAAAGGACCTGCTCCACCATGTCCAATACCACATAAAAGAAAGGTAAATCTATATTTATTTTACATTAATTTTTTTTTACAAAATTTTGAAATAATAACAACAAACTCTATAATTTGTATTTTTCTTTTCATTTTTTTTTTCTTTCTTTCTTTCTTTCTTTCTTTTCTTTTTTTTTTTTTTTCATAATCACAAGCGTCAAATTAAACTTTTACGAATAATTCTATCAATGTTTTCTATTAATATTATCTAATATTTTCATATTCGTTGCTCGTAACATCTTCATCAAAAGAAAATTTAAACGATTAAATTAATAAGTTTGGTTTTGAATTTTAGATAAAGGTAATGTCCCTTAAAGATGTTAAATTGGAATTGGATGAAATAGAAGTGCAACAGCAAGGACTGGAAAAGCAAGGTGTACGATTGGAACAATTGATAAGAAGTAAATGCGAATCCGGATCTAGAACCGATAGTAATTATTTTAATACACTTTATTTTAATAAAAATTAGTTGTTATCCATTTGGTATATACGATTATTATTATTATTATTATTATTATTATTATTATTATTATTATTATTATTATTATTATTATTATAGAGACGAATGTGCTTGTAATATATAGGATATTGTATTCGATCTATATATAGATTGGAGTAAAAACCGGAATAAAAACGAAAATTATGCGAAAATAACGAAAATTCAAGTTTGTTTTCCTATTGGCTGAAACTATTATACATTCGTTTGTATAAGAAGATGTTCTAAACGATTTTCAATGGATATTTTTTTTTTCTTAACGAATCGCCAATTCGTTAATAATTAAAAAATTCATTTTCGTTTCATTTTGTCTCGTGCATGTATCGCGATCGTAATCGTTATCGTAAATTTTCCATCGAACTAAAATATTTATCAAACGTTACATTTTAATATTTAATATAATCAATGTTTAATATATTAATAACATAAACATTACAGATATTTCTCTTGGAACCGACGTAGAAGAATTGGTTTTAGAGTTATTTACTTTGGTAAACGAGAAAAATGAGTTATTCAGGCGACAAGCTGAATTAATGTTGCTGCGAAGACAACAAAGATTAGAAGAAGAACATGCGGAGGTTGAATATCAAATTCGATGTTTAATGATGCAACACGATTCGACCAAAACGGATTTTGACAAACAAAGAGAAGAAGCATTAATACAAAGGTATCGTATAACTTTCTTATTCTTTCTAATTAATATATACGTAGATTAACCGTTTAATTAAAATATAAATTAAAGATAGCGATTGATCATGAATAAAAAAATAATTTCTTATCGTGTTTTCTTACATTCACGACAGATTGGTAGAAATTGTGGAAAGACGCAACGAAATCGTTGATTGTTTAGAAATGGATCGTCGTAGAGAAATGGAAGAAGATTGGAGTATTCATCATCATATGGATTTGTTCGTTGGTAAATAAAATGCTCGTTACGAATTCTTTTTTTTTTTTTTTTTTTTATTCAATAAAATTATTAGATCAACATATTATTTAACAGCCAAAAATAAGAACGAATCATCGTTGTGTAACGATACGGATATAATCGAGAAGAAGAAACGAAAACAAAATAAACAAAAAGAAAAGATAAAAGAGAAAAAACTGAAGAAAATATCGAAGAAAGATATCGATAAGGACGTGGATGAAATTGAATTAACGCTTAAACGACACACAAAGCGAAAATGGTTTTAATTCGATGTATCGATGTAGCATAATCGATATATTTATAAACTGTATCGTATAAATTTATACAAAATCGTTAACACAAATTAAGTTATTCTTAACGTAAAGTTATAAGTTCGAAGAGATGTGCTCGGAACTTTTCATAATCGAAATCGGCACGATGTCTCCGTCAAGTATGTTTCGCGTCGCGATGGGGACTCGGAAGTATTCTTCTTAATCTTAATCTTAATCTTAATCTCGAAAGATCGACGATCGATCGTAAAATACGCCGTACACGATAAGACTTGGCATGCGCGATTAGTAATCTCGATATTATTCTTACTTTGTTGTATCTGAATCGATATATGATCTGAATCTCTGCTCCGTACAAAGTATATTCATATAGCGAGATTCGTCATTCGATCTCGAGACGAATCTCGTCGCGTTTAAGCTTATTTACTTATCATGCCTGACTTAGAAAGTGAAAGGATAACATGAAAATCGAGACGATCACCTCGAGTATTTATTGTATAAATTACCGATAGAAAATATTACCTCGAGGGCCATAGGAGAGTTTTTATCATAAAAAAAAATATATATATATATACATGTCGCTCATTTATCGCAACAATGATATAAGATGAAAATTATTAGGAACGAGATAAGAAAATGAATAAAACGAAAATGAGTTTCAATTCTTGTAAGAAATTCTTAAGAACTTAATTAAAACTTGTACTTGAAAATTGAATGAATTTTTAAAAGTTCATCAATGAAACTCTATTAGTGATAGTAAAAAGTACAGACAAAAAAAAAAAGAAAGAAAAAAAAATTCATTTTATATCGAAAATAACTAAAAAATGGCAAACGTTTTCAGTTATATTATCGTTGCACCTAATAAGCGACATGATTTTTTTTTCTTTACAAAGTTTATAATAATACATTTAAACGCTTCGTGTAATATTTCAGATGTACAATTTTAATTAAATGTAATTACATATTCTTTATGTATACATTATATATAACATTTGTGTCAAATTATTTAACACAATACCGTTATATGTATTAAAAAATAATATCGAAAGTAAAGATCACATCACACAAGAATTAGTAAAACCGAATGAAATTTATATCCAAATTTATATCGTAATTTAAAAATTATTTCCATTATAATTGAAAAAAATCTTTAAGATTTTAATACGATATATATGTAATATCCCGTCCATAAGTGGCCGGACACTTAAGATACGAGCGATTTTATACCATGAAACGATTTGTATCACGAAATAAAATTAATATTTATTACGCACATGTATCGTGCGGAGCTCAAGAGTTTATCGCCTAGAAGGAATACAGATTTAATCGGTCAAGACTATTCCTTTATTCTTATAGTTTCAAGAGATATATCGCATAAGTAAGTTATTTTTTTTTTACTTTTTTTATTTTTTGGCAATAAGGATCAAGAAGAATCACATCTATTAATTCGATACGTAAAGGAAAATGAATAGGAGTCGAGTAAGATAGAGAGACATACTTCAAATATTGGTGAAAGTATCGATAAACGAGGATAAGCGAATCGAACGAGAAACCTCTCTCTTGTCTCTGTGCCGTCCTGATGTCAAATTCCTGAGTTCCGCACAGTATTATAATGTTAAAAATATGTCAAATTACACGTCAAAAATCATATAAAAAATAAATATATATATATACGAAATTAATCTTTTCATTCATATTTTATTCATCCCTCTGTGTCTACGATCGTTTCAACTAACAACGATATTCTATTTTCCAACAATATTATTATTTCCTGAGCCATTATATCATAATATTCGTAACAATATTAATTTTTATTTTATTATTTTATCAATCGTTATCACGATCTTTTTTTTTTTTGGTTCTAATCGTTTCATTCTCTCTTTTATCGATTTATGATTTATTGACTTATAATTATGTTTTTATATTTTATTTATTTAACAATCACTTACATTTTAACATTCTATTATGTTATATAGCGATAAAATCTTTCGGGGAACACAAGGAATACGTCCGTTTTGCTCCGTATTCGAAAAACGACTATGTTTAATCGATACGTATACAATAACAATCGACGCGATATCGTGCCGCGATTTACGTTCGCTATAATAATTCCTAAGAATATTAATATTTATTTCATTTTATCAGTATATCAATCATTATCACGGTGCTTCTTTTCTTCTGTTTTTACGTTACGTCTATAGGTTTTTTAATTTTAACATTTCTTTTTTCTTTCATTTTTCGAATAGTTTAATTTAATTTTCATTATTAAATCACGAGATTTATAAAAAGATCGAACAATACTTTTTCTTTATCTTTTCTTTTATTTTAATCATTTTTGTTGAATCATCGTTCGAATTATCAGTATCGTAACTCCATTTAATCGTGAAAATTTAGTTACGCATTTTATTTTTTTTTGGTAAAGGTATCTTTTATATATTTTTATTATAAAAGAATTTATCGCTTCTTTTTTTATTATTATTAATCGTTGCGCTTTATTACTTTTAACGATAAAATGAAATAATTTCAATTGGTTCAATTCAAGGAAATAATTTCTTTTTTCGATATTTTCGTTCGTATATTTTATTTTTGTTTTATCGGTACAATTTTGAATGATTTATTTTTCCTAATAGAAAAATTGTTATGTATCGGACGAAGTAAAAGAAAAAAAAAAAATGGAAAATAGGATGGAAATTAATTTTTAAAAGAGACATCGAAAAATAGATGAAATTCGAAATCCGGATGAAATAGTGGATAGATCACTGACAAACGACGTATCAATGGTCTTCGGTTAGATTCTTACAGTACGGAATTTCTTCTCTTTTCTTCCTTAAATAAAAATGTTTTTTTTCTGCCGATTGAACGACGAAAACGATCTCGAAGGATGAAAGAAAATCGAAATTAAAAAAAATTCGCAAAAATATAATTCTCAGGTAACTTAAATAGCCAAAAATTAAACTTTTTCGCTAAAGAGGCTGTGCGAAGTTGAAACGCTGCTTTCTTCCGCACACGGAAGAACTCGGATTCGAGAATCGCTGTTTCGAATATGGAGTATTTTCGCGAACGATGGACAATTTCTAAAAATTGCCACGAGGGAACGTTTTTCCCCGATATAAAAATTTGAAAAGTACTATATCAATTCCTCTTCACACGGTCATTTATCAATTCTTCTTCAGATGCTCATTTATCAATTCCATTTCACAGGCTCATTCCTCTTCACACGGTCATTTACCAATTCCTCCTCAAACGCTTATTTATCAATTCCTCTTCACACAGTCATTTATCAATTCCTCTACACACGGTCATTCATCAATTCCTCATCACACGGTCGTTATC